TCCTCCTCCTCCTCCTTCTCTTCTTCCTCCTCGTCAGTCCTCATCAGTCTTCCTTCTCCTCCTCCTCCTCTTCCTCCTCCTCCTCCTCAGTCCTCCTCCTCATCGTCAGTCCTTCTCCTCCTCATCAGTCCTCCTCGTCAGTCCTCCTCCTCCTCCTCCTCCTCCTCCTCAGTCCTCCTCATTCTCCTCGTCCTCCTCCTCTTCTTCAGTCCTCCTCTTCCTCCTCCTTCCCCTCCTCAGTCCTCCTCTTCCAGTTCTCCTCCTTCTCTCTCCCCTCCTTCTCATCAATCCTCCTCCTCAGTCCTCCTCAGTCCTACTCCTCTTCATCCTCCCTCCTCAGTCCTCCTCAGTCCTCCTCCTCAGTCTTCCTCATCCTCATCCTCCTCTTCCTCCTCAGTCCTCCTACTCCTGAGTCCCCCTGAGTCCTCCTCCTCTTCATCCTCATCCTCCTCCTCCTCCTGTGTTCTCATCCTCTTCCTCCTTCTGAGTCCTCCTCCTGATCCTCCTGAGTCCTCCCGAGTCCATCTCCTCCACATCCTCCACTTCCTCGTCCTCTTCAGTCCTCCTCCTCCTCCTTCTGAGTCCACCTCCTCCTACACCTCCTCCTCCTCCTCAGTCTTCCTCCTCCTCCTCCTCCTCCTATAGCCATGTAACTATCTGGAAAGTTTTAAAAAATTCTATCATTTAAATCTCCAAATATATGCCTTTGTTCCGCTAAAAACCGCCAATTCGGAGATATTTTCTTGTGTTTGAAGTCATATCTCAAGTTCGGCACATAGAAATTCGCCCAAAATCACACAGATTATCCGTCTCATAGCCATACAACTATCTGGAAAGTTTAAAGAAAATGTATCAGTAGGATCTCGAAATATGTGCCTGCATTCCGCTAGAAACCGCCAATTTGGAGATATTTTCTTGTGTTTGAAGTCATATCTCAGGTTTGGCACATATAAGGTTGCCCAAAATCGCACAGATCATTCGTCTTAAATAGTCATACAACTATCTGGAAAGTTTAAAGAAAATTTATCAGTAGGATCTCGAAATATGTGCCTGCATTCCGCTAGAAACCGCTAATTTGGAGATATTTTCTTGTGTTTGAAGTCATATCTCAAGTTTAACATATAAAAATTCTCCCAAACTCTCACACATTATCCGTCATATAGCCATGTAACTATCTGGAAAGTTTAAAGAAAATCTATTTGTCAGATCTGGAGAAAATCAAAAATATATTCTAAGTTATTCACTAAAACACTCGATTTTCGAACTTTTTATTTGGAACAGATTTGTCGAAAGTCCTTCTGTTGGACTTTCTGTTCCATTTGTTCCGCGGAACAATATTTGACGAAAGTCGATTATCTTGAGATCCTACTGATAAATTTTCTTTAAACTTTCCAGATAGTTGTATGGCTATGAGACGGATATTCTGTGCGATTTTGTGCGAATTTCTATGTGCCAAACCTGATATATGACTTCAAACACAAGAAAATATCTCAAAATGGCGGTTTGTAGCGGAACGCAGGCACATATTTCGAGATCCTACTGATAAATTTTCTTTAAACTTTCCAGATAGTTGTATGGCTGTGAGACGGATATTCTGTGCGATTTTGGGCGAATTTCTATGTGCCAAACCTGAGATATGACTTCAAACACAAGAAAATATCTCAAATTGGCGCGTTCTAGCGGAACGCAGGCACATATTTCGAGATCCTACTGATAAATATTCTTTAAACTTTCCAGATAGTTGTATAGCTATGAGACGGATATTCTGTGCGACTTTTGGTGAATTTCTATGTGCCAAACCTGAGATATGACTTCAAACACAAGAAAATATCTCAAATTAGCGCGTTTTAGTGGAACGCAGACACATATTTCGAGATCCTATGCTGATACATTTTCTTTAAACTTTCCAGATATTTGTATGGCTATAACAGTCCTCCATTCCTCTTCATCCTTCTCCTCCTCAGTCCTCCTCCTCCTTCTCCTCCTCAGTCTTCCTCTTCCTTCTCCTCCTCAGTCCTACTCCTCCTCCTCCTCCTCCTCCTCATTCTCCTCTTCAGTCCTCCTCATCCTCCTCTTCCTCTTGATTATCTGTCTAATAGCCCTCCTCTTCAGTCCTCCTCCTCCTCCTCTTCCTCCTCCTTCTCAGTCCTCCTCCTCAGTCTTCCTCCTCCTCAGTCATCATCCTCCTCCTCCTCCTCGGTCCTCCTCCTCCTCGTCAGTCCTTCTTCTCCTCCTCATCAGTCTTCCTCCTTCTCTTTCTCCTCCTCCTCAGTCCTCCTCAGTCCTCCTTCTCCTCCTCCTCCTCTTCCTTCTCCTCCTCCTGTGTCCTCATCCTCCCCCTCCTTCTGAGTCTTCCTCCTGAGTCCTCCTGAGTCCTCCTCCATCTGAGTCTTCCTGATTCCTCCTCCTCCTGAGTCCACACCCTCCTGAGTCCTATTCCTCCTCCACCTCCTCCACTTCCTCGTCCTCTTCAGTCCTCCTCCTCCTTCTGAGTCTACCTTCTCCTACACTTCCTCCTCCTCCTCAGTCTTCCTCAGTCCTCATCCTCCTCCTCCTCAGTCCTCCTCCTCCTCAGTCATCATCCTCCTCCTCCTCAGTACGCCTCCTCCTCATCAGTCATTATCCTCCTCCTCCTCATCCTCCTCCTCCTCTTCCTCCTCTTCCTCCTCCACCTCAGTCCTCAGTCCTCCTCCTCTTCCTCCTTCTCCTCCTCAGTCCTCCTCCTCCTTCTCCTCCTCATCAGTACTCCTCCTAAGTCTTTCTCCTCATCCTCTGTCCTATTCCTCCTCCTCCTCCTCCTCCTCCTCCTCCTCCTCCTCCTCCACCTCAGTCCTCAGTCCTCCTCCTCTTCCTCCTTCTCCTCCTCAGTCCTCCATCTCCTTCTCCTCCTCATCAGTACTCCTCCTAAGTCTTTCTCCTCATCCTCTGTCCTATTCCTCATCAGTCCTCCTCCTCCTCAGTCCTCCTCCTCAGTCCTCTTCCTCCTCATTCTCCTCTTCAGTCCTCCTCATCCTCATGCTCCTCTTCCTCTTGATTATCTGTCTCATAGCCATACAACTATCTGGAAAGGGGGATCATGTGTATTTTCAAAGTCTTCCTCCTCCTCAGTCATCATCCTCCTCCTCCTCAGTCCTCCTCCTCCTCGTCAATCCTTCTCCTCCTCCTCATCAGTCCTCCTCCTCCTCCTTCTCTTCTTCCTCCTCGTCAGTCCTCATCAGTCTTCCTTCTCCTCCTCCTCCTCTTCCTCCTCCTCCTCCTCAGTCCTCCTCCTCATCGTCAGTCCTTCTCCTCCTCATCAGTCCTCCTCGTCAGTCCTCCTCCTCCTCCTCCTCCTCCTCCTCAGTCCTCCTCATTCTCCTCGTCCTCCTCCTCTTCTTCAGTCCTCCTCTTCCTCCTCCTTCCCCTCCTCAGTCCTCCTCTTCCAGTTCTCCTCCTTCTCTCTCCCCTCCTTCTCATCAATCCTCCTCCTCAGTCCTCCTCAGTCCTACTCCTCTTCCTCCTCCCTCCTCAGTCCTCCTCAGTCCTCCTCCTCAGTCTTCCTCATCCTCATCCTCCTCTTCCTCCTCAGTCCTCCTACTCCTGAGTCCCCCTGAGTCCTCCTCCTCCTGTGTTCTCATCCTCTTCCTCCTTCTGAGTCCTCCTCCTGATCCTCCTGAGTCCTCCCGAGTCCATCTCCTCCACATCCTCCACTTCCTCGTCCTCTTCAGTCCTCCTCCTCCTCCTTCTGAGTCCACCTCCTCCTACACCTCCTCCTCCTCCTCAGTCTTCCTCCTCCTCCTCCTCCTCCTATAGCCATGTAACTATCTGGAAAGTTTTAAAAAATTCTATCATTTAAATCTCCAAATATATGCCTTTGTTCCGCTAAAAACCGCCAATTCGGAGATATTTTCTTGTGTTTGAAGTCATATCTCAAGTTCGGCACATAGAAATTCGCCCAAAATCACACAGATTATCCGTCTCATAGCCATACAACTATCTGGAAAGTTTAAAGAAAATGTATCAGTAGGATCTCGAAATATGTGCCTGCATTCCGCTAGAAACCGCCAATTTGGAGATATTTTCTTGTGTTTGAAGTCATATCTCAGGTTTGGCACATATAAGGTTGCCCAAAATCGCACAGATCATTCGTCTTATAGTCATACAACTATCTGGAAAGTTTAAAGAAAATTTATCAGTAGGATCTCGAAATATGTGCCTGCATTCCGCTAGAAACCGCTAATTTGGAGATATTTTCTTGTGTTTGAAGTCATATCTCAAGTTTAACATATAAAAATTCTCCCAAACTCTCACACATTATCCGTCATATAGCCATGTAACTATCTGGAAAGTTTAAAGAAAATCTATTTGTCAGATCTGGAGAAAATCAAAAATATATTCTAAGTTATTCACTAAAACACTCGATTTTCGAACTTTTTATTTGGAACAGATTTGTCGAAAGTCCTTCTGGGGACCAGTTCATGTCGAACGTTCGTGTAACGCGCGGCGACGTTTTCACGATTAAGGTACTCTTTTTCTGACCTTGCTGCACGTACGTACGTACGTTACATTACGTACCTTATATTATGCTTTATTTAATTGTTTACCAAACGTATTGCATTGCGATCGTTTTTGGGGTTTTCATCGGTATTCCGAGTATCACCTTTGACCAGGAAGCTCAGGGCTGGTTGAAGCAAAAATCGGACGCAATTTATACTAAAATACATACAGTGTAGTGTCAAGGGGCAGTTGACTTACGTCTTACACTTTTCCTCTTCTGGCCCGTTCCATTTCCCTAAAAAAATAACATTACTCTAAATTTACCAGGATATCGTACAAACCGGACGTTTTGTTCTTCGAAAAGGCTTAAAATTTGGGAGATTCCCGCCCCCACACAGCAGGGTCTGCAAGGGCGGTTGTTACGCCTCTGATTATGGGGCAGTTACTAACATTTTTGATTCTTCATCTAGTGGCCTGTTTCGCATTTTTAATTCTCTTAAAAAACTTAACACAAACATTACCAGGCTGTAAGGTCGTTCGATAACGAGTTCAGAGCAAGACTTCTGCAGTTTGTGACCGGGACTTCCAGGGTGCCCATGAACGGATTTAGAGAACTTCAAGGTTTGTCAATTCCCCACAGATTTAGTAATTCATTAATTCTATACTGGAAAAATTCCAACAGTCTTTTCTGTGTGTGATTAGAGATATATGGTGAACATCAATTACAACATTTCCCGGTAGTTGGTACTTTTGAGTCTTGACTCGTTGTACTGATGAATGAACCGTATGAACTTCAAAAGTCAGCTAAACTCTATTGTATTGCTTAATCACACTATCTCAGGATCTAACGGACCACAAAAGTTTTGTATTGAGAAATGGGGGACAAATCAGGATCTTCCAAGGGCGCATACTTGGTAAGTAACAGTTGTACTTGAGGTGGGGGGGGGGGGGGGGGTTGGAGGACGATTTAGACTTGAGTCCCAGTTTGTGCGCTAAATATACTAAATCTTTAAAAAATTGTCACATTCACGTTTCTGAGTTTTAGTTACATTATAATCCTACAAAGGAAGACAAAATTTGATTTTTGAACTGATAGTATGACAGCTTGTATGTGACAACGCGAGGCAGCCGCTGTCAATGATATGCAGAGAAATACCATGATTTTGTTAAGGATTGTTGCATCCTTATAAGTTACTGAACGATTTCTGAGAAATGCCCAAAACTAATTTTACCCCCCCCCCCCCCCCCCCCCCCCCCCCCCCGTTGTTGGTATACTGCCAACTCAAGATGAAACTTAACATAATATTTAATAATATGTAAATATTATCTGATCAAACTGGTAGAATTTACTCACGTTGTTTCAAACTTTTACTCAATTTTTTATTAAACCTCAAATTATGCTGGTTATTTATCAAAACCAGCGTTTCACAATTCATTAAAATCAAATCTTAAATATCAATAATTTTAAATAATATGTAAATAGCATTTTCTAGAACTTACTGGATTTTGACATGTCTCAAACTAGTGCTCTATTTCTAATGAAAAGTTAAAAGGTTCTAATGAAAAGTTAAAAGGTTGCTTATGAAAACGTAATTCAAGTTTTAGCTTTTAAAACTTAACAGCTTTTCTTTAATAGCTTTACGGTTAAATGAACGTTTAATTTCAGTTTCAACCGTATTGACCTACCGATGTACAGCGATTACCACACTCTGAGGGAAAAATTACGAGTAGCTGTGGAATGCACAGGTGGATTCGACATAGACTAAAATCCGGACTAGATTAAAAAGTTAGAAATATTTATCTTCCCCTGCTAGAAACTAGCCGGCTGTGAACTAAAACAGAGCAGTTGGCAAAGTTGAACAAACTAAACCTCACATTTTTGAAAGACTTATGTTTAATGCCTAATGGAGAGAATGTAATGTTATAAAAGCAATTTATAGCTGAGCTCAGTTAAAGATGTTTATAGCTGGCAAATTTTTATTTCTTATTGGAAGTATAGATTAGCCCTGGATTTTCTTTTTATGTTTAGAATGTTGATGATCAGAATTTACTTTTTTATTCGTTATAAAGTTATAAATGATACACGATATTGAGATCTCGTTGTGGTCCACTGTGAGAGACTGCAAGTGTAATATATAAATTAAACTCGCTGGGATGAAGTTGACCTGTTTTAACAAGCAAGGATATGAGATTGTTTGAGAGCTCTTGACGTTGGGTCGGTGGTGGCAGCTATACCTACCACGACATATAGCACTGTATCTACCACTGCTTAGGTCAGCCAATTTGTAACTTTCTAGATTTTATTAATTATGTTATGTGGTGCAAGTAGTGTTCAGCTAAGTTGAGCTGCTTAGCTTGCCATTTATGAAATTATGTTCTTTCCGTACGTTTGTTTGATTGGGGTTCACTGACTTGATATTTCATCTTTTAACCTAGCAAACTAATTGATTTTAGAATTAATTGATTTGATAATAAGCGGAGGTTCTCGCTAATTGTAGTGTACATAGCTGTGTCGAGAACCTCGTTTGATGTAATAACTTAGCGTTGATTTGACTTAGATTTCTTCGATACGAATGTTTTTCTTCGTTTAATACAAACATCTCAGTATCATCTTGCACTACTTGATCAATTAACGAAAGTTTAATTATTCTGTTTTTCATAAGAATATGGAATTTCAGCACACAGTCAACTCCAATGATTGATATGCTTGTTCGCAATTATGGACCATAGCGATGAATTCTATCACAATGCTTTCAAATTTTCAGGTTAAATCCTATGAAAGAAGTCCTCAAGGAGGGCCCTTGAAATTATTTTCAGATCAGAGATTTGGCATGAACGGGGTGAACGGACTAAAGGATGAGGATGACACGGACGACACCTCCTGCTCCGGCTTTTACAATCCTGAGTATTACGACTCCAATGACGGTTAGTTATCTTCCAATTGAATAATAATTTGATAATTTGATATGCTGACTTCTCAACTCCTTGGTCCATGGTTGTGATAGGAATTTGGTCGTAGTATGTTAGTCATTGCTAAGTAAATTTTCAGCTTGTAAAGCTATAACTTATAGATTTTTTCAGAACACTCTAGCTCCGGCTTCTAAGGGGCATTTTGATGCTCCTTTAGAAGGGATTGCTCATTTGTGATTGAATTGTGAGAAATTTGGTCGTCGTGGCTCTCATTGCGGCCCTCATAACATAATACTTTTAATTTGAGCAAAGTAAATTAAGATGAAGTTAGCACTTAGCAAACTGATCAGATTGATGATGACATAACATTGACTTGCATACCCTCGGCCTCTTATTACAACCCGTGCAATCTGCAACCCCGGCAATTGCAACTCCCCCAGTTTTACCTTTGGTCACTGATGTAAGACGCTTATCAAAATCGAGAATTACTATACGGCACATACTAAAGATCTGGTCTTAAGTGTAAGAAACTCATTCAATTGATTGATGGACGATATTAATCTCTCGCTGCGTGACCAAAACTCGTGCATAATCAATATCGGCATTATTTTCTCTACTTTAGAATGAAGATGTCCTCGAATTCACGCCATTCTTTGATTTTGCACAGTATATATTTCTTCAAAAAAATTTAAATAGAGGTTGTTTTGTAAGATTCTCAACGTTGTCTCATGAATATGAATGTCAAACATAATCTTGATGATTGACTCAAATTGTAACTTTTTGAACAATCTTGTTATGATTTGACTTGTTAGAGCGGAGTAGGTTCACAGATGTACATGTTACCCTTGTTATTATATCCCACTTAGTAAATATGAATTTAAAGTTCTGGTCTCAAGTTGAATAGAACCCGTGATTCGTACTGCGACTTTCTGAAGAAGCATCCGCCCTTTATTTTAACCCAACATTCGATCATTCCTTCATGCTAGGTCGAACACGGGTCGAACACGTGCTGATCACGTTGCAATCGAATAATCAGATTGTATTAATCAATAGTTAATCATTTTAAATGTGCCCCGGTTCAATATAATATTACCGTCTCAGTCTCACGGCTGCAGCTACAGTTCAAATATTATTTGTATGTTTGTACCGAGTTTTCTCGACCAACCAAAGTCTAGAACTGTCCACTACCAGCCAATTGTCGTTCGTATTTAATCTCGGTGAATAGCCAAACTGTACTGGTCATATTATATTAATACTATCGGTCGAGCTAGGGGGTGACCCGCCAGCCATTTCGCTCTCGTATACTTACAGACATGGAAATAGAAAACCGCACCTTCGTATTAATCGGTAATCGACCGCAACAAATATTATATATTCTTATTACATGTATAATAAATATATTTTAAATGTGCCGTACTGCTTTATCTGTTTCTTACATTTGAAACTTCCGTCCTCGGTCCTGATTAAAGTATCCACTGTTCTCCAGCGGTGGATTATTCCTAAAAAGTGTCTAAAAGGTCCCCCCTCTTCGTTCACAAGCTGCTCATAAGCATACCAAGCTAGCATATTGTGTTAAGTTAAACTATTAACGATATCTGTACTCTTTTGATAAATTTAATCGAACAAGATGATAAACTTTATAGCGCCTCGTACAGCTCTGAATTAATATTGTTTAGTTTTAGCGAGCAAGGTCGAGCTGGAAGTGATCGAGCCATTAGTGGACCACTACTAGTGGTTTACGGGCTGTTTTGTACAATTTCATCGGTGTACAGTTATACACGACTTCCCCTTTAAATATATGCACTGTGTGGTTAGATATTATATTAGGAAAAAGATCACCGCCACCCCGTTCTGATCATCATGATTGTTACAAGAGTTTTACAGATGGAATTTAAATGTTCTTTACTAAATCCGGTGCTTGTTATCTCGGTTTACAGTGTGGCACGTTTATCGTAGAGTGTGGTCCGGTCACACAATGCATTTCGCACGTATTGTAACCATTGTAACCAGTTGTAATAGTGATGAGCTGAGACACTAATCTCTTTTGATCCGCAGTTATATTGCTTTTTTAAACTTGCTGCAAGCAAATGAGGTTTGAAAAATTGTTACAGTGGGATCCAATTTGTTGAAAATAAGGCGGTTAATAAGTACAGTTGATAGTCACCGGCTGACTGTAAAGGGAAGATATAAAGAGCTCCGACAATGATTATGTCATACAGTAGACGATTTTATGTTTTTAAACGCATGCAAGAGAATGTGATTAGCTAGGTAATTGTAACTGGGAACTAATTTATAAATAATTATTAATTAATTAGTCAAGCAAGCACAAAGGACGTTCGACAGGAGTGGGCGTGTATCAGTATACCCTCCAGATGTTCCTAATTTTAAACAAAATAAGTGGCCCAAGTTCAACTAATCACATGCTAATGATTTGATGTTCTGCTTCTTCCTTGTAATTTCATATTTAACCTTCACAGGGCCTACTATCTGCACAGCGTTTGCCGTTTAAACTCAGATCGTTTACGATATCCATGACTACGCACCGTGAAATGTATGAAATTGCCTGGTTTATTATATTATACTCAAATTCATGATGAATCTAGGATTTACGCTTTTGGCCTACACAGGATTTAAAATGCATATATTTTAAATAATGGTTTTGCGGTTTTTACGGGTTTAATTTAGATAACGGTTTGCGGTTTTGACATTTCTTTGATCTTTTGTGAATCGTTCTGAATAGTAGATTTAGCAGCACAATTGTGGATTTACTAAAAACATATGAAGCAACACATACCACTAATACATCGCTCTTCTTAGAGAAACTTGTGGTAAAAACGGTTACTAATACTATATATAGTAACCGTTTTTTGGTCAATATTCTCGAACCTCCTAATCGTCACTGAAAGTGACATGCAGTTATAGTTATACGTCAAACGGGAGGTCGATTTATGTGGGATTAGTCTCATTATTTGTGCTCCTGTATGCTCTAATTCATTGTGTTTAACATTGCACCTGGTCGCCGGTCGGGCTGCTGCTCAGCTGCTGGTTATTGTTGTGGTATATTCGTGAACACCTGCTATTTATCTTTATGTTCTAGCAATTGATCGGGTTTAACATATATTTACATCGTAGATTTGGTATTGATATCCCTAATCTTCTTCACTATACTCCATCTGTTTAAATTCTAGGTGAGTTTAGCTATTTTAAATAAATAAATAACCTTATTTGCGTATTGAATAGGTAACTTGTGCGGAATGAAATACTCTACAGCTTAACTTTGTGATAACCTGTGTTAATTTCAGACGACATGTTCAAGAAATCAAAATGGGGAAAGGTTCGAGAGTTTGTGTTTACTCGTCCAAAGCCTACAACTTCAGCCTGGTCGAGGGTATGTCTCTTATATTTAGGGAAGGAAACCACTTTTTCCAGCAATCTTCTTCGACAAAATCTCAAGATTTTTTATCGAAGATACGTGTAATTCTCGACATGCCAAGAAATTCAGAAACTTTCGAAATAATTGTCTCAGCTTTTTTAAATAGGCTTCATTCGGATGAAGCCCACTACAAAAAAATTCTAAAATTCCAAAGTGTCAATCCAATGCCCAATCGACTCCGCTTTTTATAAGTCGTTATGGATTGTAACTAATATGTTTTAAGTAATATTATAAATGAAAAAAATACTAGTAAAGGGGGTATAAACTATAAAAACTGACGGTCGTTCTTACCGGCACTGTGATATCTGACTCTTAAACATATCTCCGTCGCCCGCGGTCCTGGAAATTCCTTACTTGTTTTAATTTTATAAATCTTGAAACTGTTACTTTGTATCAATGTCTAACTATTTCTAATCTTTTAATAGGTTTTCGGCTCACTTAAGGTAACCAATTCAAGTTTTAAAGATTTAACGAACTTTTATGTAATTAAATTCAGAGCGTATGTGTTGTTATTGTAACTTTTAATTCTGTTGCATGTGATCCTAAATCTCTTTGATCTGAAAGATAATTACTTATACCTGCCAGAGGCACATATTAGTTTTTACGATTTTAAGAAATTTCTAGCTTTTCGTACAACAGAAAGTTGGTGGATCATGATCACGAGCGAAGTTTCTAGATTTTATATAGCCTATCTGTGACTGCATTTCTTCCCATTTCTTTTTGGAAGCCCTTGATCTACGTCACACCCTACAGTGAATCGTGATGTACTGAAATCAGGAGCTTACTGTAACGAGGCCAATGCTACAAAGCATTCAGGGTTTAAGTCCTGGGCAGTATCTAGATAGCCAGACTGCAGACATCTTATGAACAGTTGTCCATGGACAGTTGTCCACAAACGTCAAACATCTTATGACATCATATGACCGCATAACAGTATACAGACACTGGATCAAGCAAAAGGCATGTCGGGCTATCTGGATACTGCCCTATGCTATCAGCAGCTCCAGAGTTGGATTTCTAGCTATTTCCTTCAGTTAACAACGCAGCTATAGCTATGGTTTATAACAGTGTTTAATTGCAACTTTCCGTTCGTTTGTGACTGGATCCCTTTGATCCTGTTTGATCTGGTATATGAGCATGGCACGATCTGGTTTTACAACTGTTGAAGCGTTTTAAGACATTGCTAATAATGCAAACTCTACGTTTTTTGTAGTTATAGAACTCA